GCTTGTGTTCTTATCAGGAACAGATTGTTCTTTGCAGGCCAACCTGATGTGACTGTTTTCATTCAGACTTGATCCATTTTGGAAGTGATTTAAAAATGTTATCATGTCTGACCTTGTCGGGTTGCCATGACTTTTAGAGGAGGGAAAAAGAGACCAGGATTCATATTCAGATATGCACATGTTTAATTAGAAAAGCTTTACTACCTCTCTTGGCCTCATCTTATCTCACCCAACCTCCATCTCATAAGACCTGATCTCATTAAATCTTATCCTATTAAAAACAGTTTTTATTACCATTAGCTTGCTAGTTTGTCTGTGTGCTGGTATGATTACACAAGAACTATCAAGTAGATTTTCATGAAACTTGGTGGAGCAGTTTAGCTGTGGATCTGGTTTTGGTCACAGAAACACACATCATAGAAATGTGGACTAGTGGTCCCAGTGGACGTCTGTGCTCTTTGAGTGCACTTTTACTCTTCACAAATGTAGCATTTTTCTCATGTGATGTGTAATTGTATCACCATTTATGAAAAAAAGCAGAAAAATGCCTTTTTCTGTTTATGATATAAATATTGAACATAAAATGTTTAATTTTCTGGCAAAGAATGGAAAGGTATTCTTTTAGGTAGTTTAATTTATAACAAAAATCAAAATTTACAAGATGTTCATGTGTTGTGTAAAGTATTCAAGTAGAAAGTACAATATTTCCCTCAAAATGCTGTGGAGTGGAATTATACAAGCAGTTGAAAGTGGCATGAAAAGACTCAAGTAAAGTGCAAGAAGGCTTCTTCTGAAAAGGACTTTCAGTGAATACTGTACTTGAGAGAGAGTTACATTCTAGCAGTGCTTACCTCCTCTCCTCTCCTCTGTATATTTCCCTTCATCTCCTATGAATCTGATCAGGATATACACTATATTGCCAAAAGTATTCACTCACCCATCCAAATAATCAAAATCATGTGTTCCAATCACTTCCTTGGCCACAGGTGTATAAAATCAAGCACCAAGGCATGCAGACTGTTTCTACACACATTTATGAAAGAATGGGTCGCTCTCAGGAGCTCAGTGAATTCTGTGATAGGATGCCACCTGTGCAACAAGTCCAGTCGTGAAATTTCCTCGCTCCTTAATATTCCACAGTCAACTGTCAGTGGTATTATAACAAAGTGGAAGTGATTGGGAACGACAGCAACTCAGCCACGAAGTGGTAGGCCATGTAACCTGACAGAGCGGGATCAGCAGATGCTGAGGCACATAGGGCGCAGAGGTCGCTAACTTTCTGCAGAGTCAATCGGTACAGACCTCCAAACTTCATGTGGCCTTCAGATTAGAACAGTGTGTAGAAGGTTTCATGGAATGGGATTCCATGCTAGAGCAGCTGCATCCAAGCCATTAATCACCAAGTGCAATGCAAAGTGTCAGATGCAGTGTTGGAAGCCAGGCCTTCTCGTCCAACATCAGTGTGTGACCTCACAAATGCGCTTCTGGAAGAAAGGTCAAAAATTCCCATAAACACACTCCTAAACCTTGTGGACAGCCTTCCCAGAAGAATTGAAGCTGTTATAGCTGCAAAGGGTGGACCAACGTCATATTAAACCCTATGGATTAAGAATGAGATGTCACTTCAGTTCATATGTGAGTCAAGGCAGGTGAGTGAATACTTTTGGCAATATAGTGTATTTTAATCTACACAACCGTACATCTTGCCTGATCACTTCACATCTCACCCTCTTTTCCGTACAGTGCTCTTGTATCCTTACCTGACAGTATGTCTTCACATCCACCTGTCCAGTCAGTATGAACGGCTGCAGGTGGACGTAGGCCTCTGGGGTGACGGCGCCTCCTTTCCTCGCCTGGCGAATCATAGCCAGCCGTTTGTGGAGACTCCGTTCATTGTAGAACTGTCGTAGGTAGGCCTGGCCATCCATCTTGATGCCGTGTTCCACATGGGAGTACCGACCCACCAGGCTCTCCACATCGCCCACGTCAAACTGTTTCAACTGTAGCCGAAACAGCAAAGACAGATGTGTGTGGTTGATGCAGGTAAAGCTACAGAATATTTATGTCTCATGCATGTGCTGTTTTACAGTCACTAGACCTGAAGGTGCTTCCTCATGACCCATGTCACGTGGCTGGCACCTTGCTGCACGGCAATCGAGACAACATGAGCGCTGGTCAGACCTCCACCAACAACCATGACCCTCTGTCCTGCCTTGCACACTGCAGAGGCGCACATATAGTGTTTGTAAAGGGAGGACTAAGGGGGTGAGGATGGGTTAAAATTACCACTTTAAACTGAAAGCATAAAACATGAGCGTCAAGGGTCATTCGATTTTTAAGATTTAAAGCCTCTACTTGTTAAATGCTAAAACATTATTTCACTGTAAAGTTAGTCTACATTCTTGTGGTACATAATCAGAGGAAATCCAGCTGACCTTGAGCGTGAAAAGTCTCTCTCGGTCTCTGACAACTTTCTGTAAGTTTTTGCTTCCAGTTTGGCAGATGGTGCATGAGATGAACTGTATGTTGCAAACGCTCATCTGGAAAGCTCTCCCCAATGCTTTGCACCCACGAAGGGATGTTTGCCATTTGGGCACGGGTCGGACCTGTTGCCATGACGACCTGCCGGGCTTTTAGGATGTCGCCTTCTTGGAGTTGGACTTGAAAGTATTTCAATCTCTTCCTTCCTCTGTCTCCTTTCTTCTCAGTCAGTCTTATTTCCTCTGTTTCCAGCTCTTTCATCGGGTCGTTCTCTTCTTCCATCTCTTCCTTATCCTCAGTCACAGGGATGATGTGCTCCACTGTTCCCTTTACCAGCATTTTATCCAACTTGTATCTTTCCACCTGTATGTTCACAGTCGTTAACTCAAAACAGCTCCAGAAGCAGCAAATACTCAGACTGGGTACATAATGTTGGCATCATTCCACATTTGTTCCATATGCTTGTCACCAATAAACTGCACAAACACCAAAAGGAACAGCGTGTTAGTCTGTCTTTCAATACTTTACAGTTTTCCTTCCCTGTCTGTGGTAGCTGTGGTGGCTATGCTTTTTAGCAAATGTTGCTCAAACTGGAGAAAAAAATTTTTTTCTCAGCTTAGAATTTGGTTTGTTTCCTGAGTGAGTATTCACAGCAGCGTAACAGGATGGGAAACTGATACCTTAGCTGCATTTACTGGAATCATGAAGCATTCTAACCACTACACTGATGTACTTATAACAGTTTTAGGACAACAGAAATCAGTGACACAGAAATAACCTTTGGCTGCGAAGACAATACTAGTTCGTGGAGTTAGATGATTCTGTGTTTTCTGTCTTATTGGGATTTGTGTTAGAAAAAATGACGTGAAATAAGAAACTACACCATTTTGTGTCAGACTTGAACATTTCTGACTTTGATGATAGTTTTAAAAGCAGTACTGTTGCAGACACAGATACACAGATTTTTAGTGTCCGTTCAAGCAGCATGCACATTTTTAAACATGCTTCTGTGTCTGTATTTCTCACTGTATTATTTTGGAGGTAACATCTAACTCAAGGGTGTAGTTGATTATCAAACTTAAGATCAAAATAATGGTTTAATGAAAGAATAAATATGTTTCACCCAAGCTTGTAATTGCATGATTTTAACTGCTCCATGTTTAATGTCAGATTGATGGATAAGAATTGATTCAAAACAAACAAATTCACACTTCAACACAGGTTATTAGATGCAGTTATGCATGCTTTTGGGAAGTTTTTTATTCAGTAATACAGTAAGAACAGTAATATTATATTTCTTATAAAGTAGTATAACACAGTATACTTCCAACAAGTCAAGCAAACACACTGTTATTAAAAAAGTTATGAATTGCAGGACACGCATGCAGCTAATCTGACCTGCTCCTTAAAGAAATCCACACTTAGTTTGGTTCCTGGCAGACAGAAGGATAAACTCTTCTTCAGTGTGGACGTGATGTTTAGACGTTTCCTCTCCTTCTTGCCGAGCCGCATGTCGTTGAAAAACGCATTATCGTCCAGGATGTAAACGTGATCAGGAAGGCTGTGAAGTTCTGCTGAGCGTTCATGCTTTAAAACAAATTCCTGAAGTGCTTTCTGTTGAGATAAATAATCGCACGTGTGTTTATTTACATTCATGCTGTAAAAGCTTTTTCCTCATTTCTACTTCAGGGGAAGCTGTTGGTGTTTGTACCTTATTGAGAGGATCTGTGTGCACCAGAGTGTGAGAGCGCAGATGAGGGATGTTCAGAGCTGTGAACTGACTCTCCCACAGAGCCGTCCACTCTCCATAGGTGTCCACCACTTGGACGCTCAGCGGGGGACAGATGATCCTCTCTGATATCGTGGACTTTTCTAGTTGCTCCTCCAACGTCTGGCCTGCAGAGACTAGCCACAAACCACACATAAACTGTTTGAAGTATGTTTGGTTCATCGCATGCCTACAAAAATGTTCAACAAGCAGTAACGATGACACATTAACAACAGCATTTATGTATTTTGCAAGCAAATTCCCAAACTCAAGACATTAAATCCCATTAAATTATCAAACATAATGAATAGAAGGGAAACTCAATGGCATGATGATTATCGCTAATGTAAAATTCATTACTGTCGAGAAAATTTACACTATCTTCAAAATGCTATAAAAGACAAACCTAAGATTCAAAAAGGAACCAATTTAGAAATGCTGAATCAACATGTAGACCTAAAAAGTTCAAACTATTTGATAAACAGTTTTTATTGATGACTCAAGTCAAGATTAAGTCAGAATTATCATAGATAGCCAGACTTACTAAGTCAAAATCCTAAAATGAAATTACAAAAATAAGAGTCTGCATCACATTTTTTGTGTCCACACTGTGATTTCATTTCTGACTTAATTAGTCTTAATAACATAATTTTCAATATTGATTAATCTGCCAATTAATTTTTTCAATAAATAATTTAGAAAAAGTAGAAAAAGTCTCACAGCCTCTGTTCTGATTGCTTGTTTTGTCCAAGCAACAGTCCAAAAATACCAAATATTCCTTTTGCAAAAGACAAGCTGTAAAAGCTCACATAAAAACAAAAACAAACAAACAGTAAAAATCATGGTAAAAATATGGCAGCAAGGTCGCTGGGAAAAATTATATTTTAAAAATGATAGAATCCTGTAGCGTTCACAAATTGCAAAAAAAAAACCCAAACAAACAAAAAAAAAACAAAACAGGGGGAGTACTGGAAAATATCTGTAAAACAACTACATTTTTGGATGATTACAATATGATGAATATACCTTAAAATCTTAAAATTAAATGTTGTAAAAGATTAAACTACTATTTATAAAAATTCAGATTTTTTTGTCTGCATTTTTGTTTTTTTGTTTATTTTACAGTCTGCATATACCTTTTTTTTACTAGTTACTATTTTAAATATCTAAAATCTGTAAAATAATAGTAAATTGTTAGAAAAAAAAACAAGTTCTGTTAAAATTTGTTTAAAATTGCTTTTTTTCTGCAGTACTCAATATTTTGAAATAGGATCTAAAGTATAGGGATATCTGGCATTTCTGGGCAAAAAATTTAAAAATGACTTGAATGATCAATTGATCTTTCAAATAGTTTCAGAATTTTGCATCAATTATTAACATTAAATGTTAGTTGCAATTATCAGAGAGTCAATATAATGACTTATGAAACTAAGTTGAAGTTATAAAATTTTAGCTCCTAAATACAATTCAGTAAGAAAATCCCGGTATACTGTACCAGCTGTGGCCCTCCTCTTCTTCTTGCCACAGCAGCGTTTGTTGTTGGCTGTTTCTGGGTTTGTCTGAGGCCTCACAGGGCAAACGGGGGAGAGGGGGGAGTCCTGTCCAGGGTCAGAGTTTGGATCAGGGCTGGATAGCAAGCTAGCCAGGGTCAGGGCATGAGGGCCGCTTCCTATTATCAACACATCGAGCATCACCATCTGAAACACACACAGTGACATCAAACACTCAGGACAGGATCATACAGCTCCTCAGGTTGGTAAAAACAAGCGTGAGAATGTATGTAAGGGCCACTTTCAGAGCCTGTTTTCTAACTAGACTTACTTCCCTCATCACTCTCACTCAGTGGTGGTTTTGTTTGATGGATCAATGGATGTTCAAAAGGTGATTTCCGGTCAGGGTTGCTGGTATTTACAGTAGTATGTATTTGAAGATCAATCTCAAATGCAAAGGAAGTCAAACACCACTCCAAAGAGAGCTTAATAGTGATGAATAAAACGCATAAAATAGCTTTTACATTAGTTTTCATGCAAAGCAAAAAAATATCAGGCGACGGTATAACTTCTAAAGTGCTTCAGATGATTTTAGTTTGACTTTCAGAACATCTTTAGTAAAATCTAAACATGGCAAGAGTCAAAAAAGAGACTCGTTCATATGTCATGACTCTAGAGAAGCAAATTCTAAAAACTCATATAAGATATAGAAAAGATAAGTTGTATTCATTAATAAATGCATCAGTATATTACCTATATTGTTACTGCAGTCAGAAAACAGTGTATAATCCAATGCAGTATTTAAAAAAAGCAACAGGCCTCGACACCTTCAGCTGCCACGGTTCTGAAAATTCTGATCAGGAGTCTTGATCATGCAGAAGTTCACAGTTTATGTTCAGCACATCACAGTACCTGGTTGAGTTTGAGTTTTCAGCTTCTCAGACGGCACAAACGTGGCTTCAGCTCCAGCACGCTGCAGAGGACGGCGGCTGAAGTTTGCGACAGTGGCGCACGTCTCTCATGTAACCCAATCCTCATCAGCTCATACAGATTTAGCTGGACTTCACTGGCTCGACTGGGAACGCTGGAAATAGCTTCAATGTGTGTCTGTTTGTTTCTGTGTGTGCATGAACGGTCGTGTAAATTTAGTAACTCAACTCATTCCAGTGTTGACACATCAGAGGCATTCCATTAGTATTTCTGCACTATCATAAACATCATTAGTTTTTAAACTGGAGGGGGGAAAAAAGCAATTGAGAATGGAGTATGTTTTCAAGAGGCACTTGAAACAACACAATTCAGACAACAGACTGTTGCTGCTGTGTGCTAGAAATGAGTTTCAATCTGTGAGAGAAATGAATGAGCTTTAGCGTTGCTGGTAGACAGACCGTATCACCTTCAGACAGTCAGGTTCCTTGATTTGAAGCAAAGCAAAGCAGCTGTTAGCTTTTACTCTACTTTGTCAAACTATTGCTATTGTAGTGTTTTCACAAACGTAGTCTATGTTTTGCTTGTTGTACCTTTAAAAGCCTTGGTACCTTGGTTTGGGGGATGGGAGAGGCCGATAGGATGCAACTCGACTAGCGTAGCGACTGGTATTACCAGCGCTTGGAGTGGCAGACATGCTGCTCATGTGAGCACCTGGGGACGGAGCTTGGGTCGGGACTTGTTGGGGATATCCAGGGCCAGCTGGCTGGTTGGGTCTTAAAGGAAAGACAAGTGGCCTGTGATAGTTGGGCAGCCCCAGAGTTTCAGGTCACCATTAACAGGTTTCTGTACCTTGGGAGCACTAGGTGTGTTGGGTTGGCGTTGCGGAGTCGAGACCGCATTCTGCCATTTTGCAAATAAAGGGCTTTTGCTGCGTCTCCATACAGGTGCGGTTGACTGGTAATTTGAAGCCTGTGAGTTGCTCTGATCAGCAGCTGGAGGCGTCAAAACGTCGTCCTCACCATCCATCAGGTTATTTGAATCTTCTGTGACTCAATACGCTTTTTTTAGATGGCAAACCATGGCCTATGTACCTTTTTTGACCGACTGTTGACTTTTCTTTCTTTCTTTCTTTCTTTCTTTCTTTCTTTCTTTCTTTCTTTCTTTCTTTCTTTCTTTCTTTCTTTCTTTCTTTCTTTATTGTTTGTTATTACTATTATTCCAAACTGATTTTTAAATAAATATTTCCACATTCATTTGTATTTTTTATTCTATTTTCTATGTTTTCATGCATCACTTTTTATTACTCTTTTATTTGCTTTTTGAATGTTGACTTGCTTTTTCATTAATTCTATCAATCTTTCATCACTTATCAAATTATTTTTTTTAACAGTAAGCCTCCAATAAATGTAAACACAACTTTGTTTACATTACTGATCACCTTTACATGTTTCCGGTGTATTGCAAAATGAAACAGAAACTAATCAAACTATATCTTCATTTTAATATTTACCTTTAAATAAAAGATCATTAGTGAACGTGAGGAAGTAATGTAACAAAGTGACAATTAGAGTTATTGGACAATCCTTTTTACTGCTGTTTTAAGAGAGAGAGAAAAAAACAAGACATGGTAATCATTAAGTGTACGTTTCCACTGTACAACAGAGGAAGTAATATATCCTCATCAGTTCCCATGAACAACACTGGACCGTGATATACTGTGGAACAGACTGCTGCCAATTCCTCTTCTCTCTGTTCAGGTGCTCATTTTTTACGGTAAAACTACTGTCACGTTATTATTAAACAAAATAAGGAAGTGAACATCCAGCACAAGGAGAAAAAAAGTGTTTCCTGTGAGATGTTTGCTGCTATAGTGTGAGTGAGTCAGAGGACAATGAGTCCTCCTGGAACTTTCTTTGTTGATGACATGTTTGTTTATTGAACGCTTTCAAAGTTCCTTCATAAGTTCTTATTCTAGTAAAATTAGACACCGTGTCCCTCTCCCATTGTTGATTTACTCTTCATTTAGTTCCTCTTCTGACACCGGTTCCTCATCCACCTCTGTGTCAGAGGCTCCTCATTCCCACTTCTCCTTCTGTTGCTGCAAAGCAGAAGCACAAACACCCTGAAAGCTTTATAAAGACTGCTGCTGCCACCAGTGTCCACTTCAGTCTTTGACAACATCAGCTGCAGACACGTACAGCATCATGGACCTGGTAGGAGACAGAATTTAACTGAAACCAGCACTGAACACCACTGTATGCATTTTAAAAGACGTGTCTGTGATTATTTTTGCGTTCATTTATTTCTAAATTGCAGGATTCTGAGGTTAACGGAGGCGTATTGATTCTGCACCAGATCCACGAGGGAAAGCATCAGTATGAAGTGGAAAAGGTGGTGAAGTCCAGAAAAGACAACAGCAAGAAGATGTTTGTCAGGTATCAGTCAGACATTCACACTCTGTTTGGCAGACTGTTTGCTTTGATTTAAGTTTTCTCTCTATGTGAAAACTAAATGACTAACCAGTGTGTCAGAGCAACTCCTAAAGGTCAAACTGGACTTAATTAGACTTATTTTACCGGTGGTGCCACAAGAAGAGACTGAATTACTCCCACTGGAAAAAAGTGATTTTAGATCAGGAAAATAATTACTTACAGTTAAAGCGTGGCTTGGAAACAGTCAGGAAATGTTAATTTTACATGATACAAAAAATACCAAAAACAACTTCTACTACTAATAACTTGAATTATATACCACCTCTTAAAAACCAGTTTAACATAGTAAAAGATTTTCAAATTAAATCAATACAACAACGGCAGATAGAATAATCAAAGAACCAAANGAGCCACCTTGCAGCCACTAGAAATTTGATTTTGTTAAAACTTTTTCTCAAAGAAATAAAAGAAGCTAATCAGCATGCTGCCTTTACAATTAGGTTAAAATGATGCAGTTAACCAAATTGTATGCTGTTTGGGAAAAGTCTGAAAATATATGAACATATATAATGGAAGTCTAAATATATATGGAAGTTTCATATTTAGTTTTCATATAGAGAGTTTCATTATATATATTCAAAGTTCCATTCCATATATTCAGACTGTTTATGTCATGATGGGGAGAAATCAGTACAATATTCTCTAATTAAATATTGCAAAGCACCACGACGTGACAAAAACAAACGTAAAAGTCACGCAACCACTGGGTTTTCCAGGTTTCAAAATAGTCGTCCGGCAAACTGGAGGGTCTCAGCTGCGCCAACCGGTCTGACGGAGGATCAGCTGATCGGTCAGCTGATCGGATCAGCTGGTTATCTGCTGCTGCTGCTGCGTCTCCCAACTTTCCCGGATTAATATCAAAAACACTTTCTTTAAAATGTCCCTGCAACATCTGTGTTTTCTCCCCCGTTGTGGTTTGTACCACAACCTTCTTCTGTCCCTGAAAAAAACGGATCTTGTGCGCTGAATCAGAAGATGTTCGGATTCGTTGACGATCACTTCCTCGTGATTATGTGATCAGAAGTTCCTGCTATTTGAAACGGACGCTGCATAGCAACCATGCAGGCTTAACATCTGCATATTTTATGATATTGATGGTTCACCTGCCTTAAACAGCACATTAGGCGATGTTGCCCAGTTTGGAAATGACACTGAATAACAGCACAGAAAAGCGAGTTGTCGGTCTGAAACAGGCTGCAGCCAAAGCAAACATTACATTTCACATACACCAACCTACCTGCAAGTATAATGGCACGAGTCCAGACGATATTCTGATTGTTTCTGCGGTTTGACGGTAAAATTTGAATGATGACTTCCTCCCGAGTCTGCAGCCTCCTTCACCTCCTCAGGTAGTATTACACACGGAAGCGAAAAGGGGGCGTGGCTAAATGAGATTTCAAAGCAAGTACAAGGCAGTTGGTAGGAAATAAAAACATCAGTACATACACATAGTTATTCCCCTTCATGATCACTGCACAATACAGTGACTATCTGTATAGTTTTGGCTGTATGTTTCAGGTCATTGTCTTGTCAGGAAACAAATCTAC